TTGAAAAATTTTTAAAAATACCATTTTTCAAATGTCACTTTACAAAAATGCCACACTTTCGAAATCTTTACAAAAATGCCATTTTTCAAATTTTTTTTTTTATATTATTTATGTTTGGGTTAATTATGTTCTATTTGAGTGTTTAGGGGGTTTTAGGTGTCAAAACATTTTTTATGATTTAAAAGTTTAAGATATAGGCTTTATAAATCTATAATTAGTGGTATTTTTGTAAATGGACACCTCTAAATGGTATTCTTGTAAATGTGCACACAAAAGTGGTATTTTTGTAATTGCTCCTATATATTTTTATATTTTAACATATNAAAAAGTATATAAATTATAATATCTATAAACGTACAAAAATGGTATGTATTGTGCATAAATATAATAAAATTCAATATCTTTGATCAAACATATGTTAATGTAATTAGTTTAAATATTTTTATGTGTAAAATTAATCGAAACATATGCAAATATTTGAGAATAAAATTGATATTCATTATTCATGTAAATTATAGATAATACGATAAATCTTATAAAATTTAGATTTATATGAATTTATTGGATATAACAAAAAAATAATATATTTTTTCTAATAATGAAATGTATATATATTTGTAAGTGTGATTAAATATGTAGACTACATAATAATAAAGTTATTTGTATAGTATTCTAATCTATATATAAAAAATTATGATAATGAAAATTTGTTAATGTATAAAAAAAATTAAAATAGATGATCTGGTAAATATAAAATGTTATATTTAGTTGGATTTATATTTTAAAAATATGTATTGATTGGTTTATGTTAAAAAATTAATGAGAATATGTAGAGATTTCCACCATGGCATATAGATTTAAATGAAATATTCTGATTGATTTATTTAAATGAGGTATCCTTTGAATTGCTCTTTGAACAACATAAAATTTTCTCTTTACTGTCTACTCAATTAATATATAGAGGATTCATTTTTCATTAAGATTTCTTTTTCTTTCATACCTTTAAGTTATATTATCAGCAAACTAAACTGTACACAAACACAAGTAATTAAATAAATGAGAAATTTCAAAAAATGTCACATTTCAAATGCCAATTTATAAAAATGCCACTTTTCACTTTTTCAAAATTACTTTTTCTTTATATTATTTATATTTGGGTTAACTATGTTCTATTAGGGTTTAGGGGGGGATTTAGGGGTCAAAACATTTTTTAGTATTTAGAATTTTAAGATATAGGATTTAAAAATCTATAATTAATGGCATTTTTGCAAATGAACACTCCTAAGTGGCATTTTTGCAAATGTGCACATAAAAATAGCATTTTTGCAATTTCCCCCAATTAAATGGTCAAATAAAGATGGGGCAATTACAAAAATGCCACTTTTTGTGTGCACATTTGTAAGAGTGTCACTTAGGGGTGCTCATTTGTAAAAATGCCACTAATTATAGATTTCTAAAACCAATATCTTAAAATTCTAAACCCTAAAAAATGTTTTGACACCTAAAACCCCCTAAACTCTCATAACTAAATCCTAATAAAACATAATTAACCCAAACATAAATGATATAAAGAAAGAATAATTTTGAAAAAATGACATTTTTGTAAAGATTTCAAAAATGTGACATTTTTGTAAAGTGGCACTTGAAAAGTAGAATTTTTTGAAATTTCTCAATAAAGATTAAACGCATGTAGTAAATAGTTAAACATGAATATTTTGACAACCTAAC